CGATACCAGGATGTACCAGGTGGATGATTGGTTCTATTACGGTACATGTTGTATGATGCAGCGTGTGTTTTTCTTAAGGGTTTTCCCCTTTGCACTTTGCAGCTCCGTAGCACATCCTCCGCGGCACAAAGCCAGGGCGAAAGCGGCCGTGCCCTTTGGCTGGGGGAGCCTGGCTCTCAGACAACGCAACCGGATGGCCAGCAAGCAATCAAAGAAAAAGGAACCTGGCCCACCTAATCTTACGCCAGTGCTGCGTCCTCCCGACACAACATGACACAACCACTTGAATGTTTGAGCAATCAAAATGTAAGCTTTTGTCCACTTCCGATTCCGCTGTTTCGAACCTAGCTGAAGAACAAACCCCATACTGCCTATCAGCGCAACAAATATTCACATACTGCACGAGCCAGCCGCCTTACTGGTGTTCTCATCAACTTCATTCGCTAAATCAATGCCTTGCTGGATGGGCATGGCAGCGGGTCGCATGGAATGGGTGCAAGTCTTCAGCGTGTGGGCGGAGGCGCTACTCTTTCGCAGGTTCGCTGCCAATTTCGTTTGCGGACGTGTCAATTTCACTCAAGGATGGTTTGTGATTCTCCACTGTGACAACACCACCAGTCGACAACACTTCGTGGCTAGTGCGTGCGGCGCGGGACGGTGTCTGAAAGCAAGAAGACACATGTGACTCAACGTCCAAAAAAAGATCGTTGAATCTAAAGCCAAGAAGAAAAATGTTGCGCTCCAAGTTTGTGGCTTTCAAAATCGGCCCACCACTTTCCTCCCAATGACACTTCTGTGATTCACTCACCAACTGCCGTAAATAGTCCAAAGATGTGACTTCCCCGGCGACTAATAAAAGCAAAACTACAGTAGATCACATATAAATAACTCTATATCCGCCGACCCCAGCCGATGGCGGGGAAGCGCGCCAGCGGTTATGGATGGCAGCCTTAGGACAAAGCGCTCCTTGGATAAAGTGCACTTAGATGGCAACTGCCGGGAACGGACAACGTTTGGCAGTTCCCGATCAGTTTCGAGGACAATTTTTGTACAATTTTCAGTGTGGGATTAGGGATTGGCCGGCGCCATCGGGTGTTTGCCTGCTTCTCGTCCAGTAGTCCTGGTTCCTGCGACGGCCTTCGATCGCCCTGGCTTCTTCTTCTTCTTCTTAACTCCACTTGGCTTGCTCCACCCTCTGCTGTCGTAGCCTGGGGGCGGATGGCCAGGCTGTGGCCGTGAAGGCGCGCTGGTTGTTCCCTCTTCTTCACTGACTTCTTCCTCTGACTCTCCCGGCTCGCCAGGAGACTTCTCTTCCGCCTCAGGCTCTTCCTCCTCTGCCTGCTTTGACTCCTGAGTGGGCAAGGGCGTTGGAGTACGCTTGGATCTCTTCCTCTCTCGACTCTCTCAACGCCTCCTTGAGGTCGGGACTGGCTTGACCTTTGCGGCCAACCCTGGATGAGCGGGCTCTGGGGCTAGTCTGACGACGGGCGCCGCTGGCCTCAGCCTCTCTAACGACCTCCTTGTTTTTTCCTCGGCTCTTTTGCTTCAAGCTCACGGTGGCCTCAGGCCAAAAATGGCAATCGACCCAAGGATCCTTCGCCTTGTAAGTCGTAAAACTCTAGGACATGCAAGTCCCATCCACCACAAGCTCCTCTCCAAAGACATCAAGTCAACTGTCAGAGCTCCTGCGGGCAAACTGGAGAGCCCTTTGCCCGGTATTCTTTGTGCAGGGTTGTGCCATCCAAGACTGAACTTTTCCAGCATGTTCACGAGTGGTGCGCCCACATCGCTGACATTCAAGCCAGGAACCCCGCCGCCAGACTTCATGGGAGGTGTGAACTCTTGTTCTCAAGTTCAGATCAGCCTCCGTCATCCTGCCGAAATGGCATATCGTGTTCTGCAGCTTTTCAAGGGCATCCTTGCCGCTTCGAAGCGGAATCTTGGCCCAGCACCGCTTGCAACTGAAATTGGTGGCACCAATGTTCCATCTATGGCCATCAACATCATCTGGCATGCCTTCCGTATCCTGCACCAATGCAGTCATAATTTGCTTCAAAGTCAAGGACACTCTGTAGCTTGTTTGCTGCTGATTTCACTGTGTGCGCTGCACGACTTGATCTCTTTTCCACACAACTCACAAATAACACCTTTTCTATGGTGAAGCCATTTGCGTTGTCCTGCAACCGGAGTTTGGTGCACCAGCTGATTGAACAACTCGGCCCGGCCTTTGGGTTTGGCTGGCGCTACCTTGAACTCCATCTCCACATTCTCCAGGTTGGCGTGCATGTAATGCTCTGGGTCTCCCAGCACTGCAGTGATCCTGGCAATGGCTACCTCATAGATGCTGGTGTTCTTCTTGTTTTCATCTTTCAATTCCGCCTCCAAAGCCAAAGGTGCTTCTTTGTCCGCCCGGTGCTTTGCCGCCATTTTTGCCTCAACAAATTGCAGCCAAGCCTTGGAGTCTCCTCCAGGTGCTTTGAGCATCTTCTGTGGCACATGTAGAAGCTGAACTCTTTGCCACTCTGCCTCCGGTAGATTATGCCACAGGTCCGGTGCAGTCATGCTCCGCGCTTGAGGGCTGCCCAACCAGCTCTGCGTGGGATGTTGACCTGATGTTTACCCAGGACGGCTCGTGTGGGGCAATCCTAGCTGTATGTTGAAGCCAGTGTATTGGCGCAGCATTTCCACAGTCACCGATTGTGGAGGATGTGGTGATATAGGGCTGGCTTTCTGGCAGTGTGGGAGTCACAATAAATTAGAGAGTTGACCAAGCATGCATGCTTGTCAGCTAGTCTTAGTTTATGGGAAACTGACGCAATCCCTGAAATGATGCAATGCTGCAAGTCTCACTGCAGCAGTAGTTGCCACCTCTTTTCCATCCCTGAGCTTGAGTCCCCACAGCGTTCGTCGCGAACTGTGAACCCTAATTGGGTCATTGAAGCATTCAAGCTGAAGCTGCAGCTTGCTTGCTTGGCCTTTTTGGCAGCTTCAACAACCATACGATGCATTGATGCACAAACTGTGATCGCGCCATCACTCTTTGATTGAACCTGGCAATTGGCAATGTTGAACGTTGGACAGGCATGTCCACTATATCCCCTCGACCAAGAACATGACTCAGATGTGCACTCCAATCGTAATCGTAAGGTGCCAAGAAATTGTTTGACTGCTAGTTACAGTTACAAAAAATGGAAACGTCAAATGAAAAATGACAATGCAGTGAACTGTGAACATACCTGCTCATGTCTGTCTGTTTAGCAATCTAGTGGGAAACGTTTCAATGTTTTGTTTTCCCATGTCCGTGTCCGTCTCTTCACTTCTCTTCCAATAGCTTCAGATTCAAATACGAATAAGAATACTGGACTTAGAGACTCCATTCACTGCCTCCAAACTGAGTCTGAGCACTGCTTTTCCAAGTCCAAGCTGCATTGAGCTAAAGCGAAGCTATGTTGCGACACCAGTTGTCTCAAACCTGGTCAGTCAGTACCTCCGAATTCCGAATTCATCTCAGCATTAGAGGCAGGCGGTTCCTGCATTTCACTGACACAAACAATCAAGCCTGCCTCAACTGTCCAAACAAAAGGGCGGGCTCTTTGCCCTGCCAGGGCCAAGCCTCTCATGCCGCCTTTCTTTCTTTCACCTTCCAGGAGCCGATTTCAACCTCAATCTTCGAAGTGGAGCGCCCTGCTCGTTGAACCTTCGCTTGTGCGCCTCCCGCTGAACGTTCCTGGAGGAGTGAATGAACGTAAGATGAACCCCGGAGCCTCCTAAACCTGCTGACCAGGGACCAAAAAGCTGGAAACAATTCAAATGAACTCGGAATTGACACCGTTTCCTGTTTGGAACCGTAAGTTAGCCTTAAGGCCTTAAGTGGCGATATCCACTGAGTCAGTGCTGATCCTCATATCAGATGATGTCAACATTGGGCCAGCCGGCGGCCAGAAAGACTAAAGACAGTCTGGGCGAGGCAAAGTCAATTGTCAACTTTGGTGTGTGCTGTGTGCTTGTTCTTGTGACTTTTGTGAGTGTGCTGTGAAATGCTTCTAACTGTGAGCGGAGTCAGAGTCACGCATCAATCAGTCAGTCAGTCAGTCAGTCAGTCAGTCAGCCAATTCAATACTATAATGGACCAATGAACTAATGAACCAATGACCAAGTCTGATTATGTATTACATATTTACAGGGAACGCTTGCTTGACACAATTAGTGATTCGCTTGAACTGTGACAATGACTCTGACGACAATGACAATGACACAGGATATGATGACTATGACTATGATCATGATTCTGATTCTATGATTCTATGATGACTCACGAATCAATGGACAGTGTTGTGCTGTGTTGGGAGTGAACAGTGACTGACAACCCAAAATAATTAAGAAGACACACAGTGATGAACATTTAAAGATACGAGTATTCAATGTCGGAGTTCATGATTTATGATTGTACGATGGTGATATTATTTGTTCATTGAGTTTGGACAATCATAGAATTGAAATGAATCATTTGAATAACAACTACGTACATACTAACCTACACCTACAACTTACACCATACAAACATACAAACTTAAAATTTAAACAACACACACACTGAACACTATTGGCCGACGGTTGGCTCAACACTGGCAACGCTGCTCTGGGTGGGTGGGTGAATGTATGTTTGTCCATTTGTTCGTGTGTATTTGTCTAGTAGAAGTAGTGAAGTAGAAGTAGAATCTAGATCAGATGGGCTGATTTGAGTGTTTGTTGTTTGATCTCAGTCAGGTGTTTAGCCTTTCAGCTCAGCTCATTGATTCATTACTCGGATACTGATACTCAGATACTCGTGTTTAGCTCGTGTTTGTTCATAATGCATTCAATGCTTGTGCTTGTGCTTGTGGTTATCGGTTGTCAGTACTGTTTGGCCCTTAGTCTTAAGTCAGTCAGGACAGCAATCCCTACCTACCCTACGAGGCTCCACTGACTCCACCGACTCCACCGACACAAATCAGCAATCGCCAGCAATATCAATCAGTCCTTGCCAGTCGTATGTTTGCAAACAAGCTTGGGATTGCAGGACGACGCACCTCTGCCAATGAATGAAGCTGTAGTAGTGACATTACACCACAATGCATTGAGTTCCCAACTTGCTTGCAAACATGTCTGGCATTCCGATGTGGATTTGGGGCGTTGAAGGAAGTCAACATTGCAGCAGGATTGTGCACATGTGGTAGCACGGGAAACTTCTGGCATATCAGAGCCTCTGTTGGTGTCATCCATCTTCCAGCGTCATCACTCCAAATCAAGCCAAAGTTGGGAAATCAAAGTGAATAGTGCGTGATTGCTTGCATGATGGCCATGGCCGCTCGAAGGATTTTGGTTCAGTTGAAATGCTGACCCAGGCCATGCCCTCCTGTATTGCTCAAGAAACCTTGTCTCCATCTCGTTGAGCGCCAACTCCCATTCTGTCTTTGTTGCCCCATCACTCCAGTATTTCTCTGCATGTGGGTTCTCTGGGTTGGCATTCGAAGTCGGTCTTGAGCTTGCCCATGCTAGTTCAGCTGCAAGCTCATCTGGAATCACACCCACCATTCCGGGCAAGTGCATGAAGAAGACACCCGAGAAAGTTGGCTCCTCTTGAAATGCTCGTTTTTCAGTAAATGGTTTGACAGTGGACAGTCAACAGTCAGTCCTTCAGTCCGTCAGCCAGTGCACAATACACTGTCAAGGTATGCCTGTACGTCTGCATGCTGTACACTGTACACAATTTTCTAGTACTGAGACCAACTTGACCTCTAGTACTCAAGTACTCTAGTAGTACCTCTAGTAGTACTAGTGCGAGTTCCAATGAGAAAATATAACACGACATAAAAGTCTCATAACAGTCTCATCACAAAACACATGCTTACAACACTTGAATAACAATAAGTAATACAAGGCACTTTTCCAGCCCCAGGAACAAGCCTTGAAAAAACGACGCTGGAATCTGGACAAAGGTGACGACTGGGTAAGACGCTTGCCCTTGTGAATCATCTTCACAAACTCCCTTTCACGAGAAAAAGGATCTCCAAGCATAGAAGGATCCAACACTGTTGTCTCC